CGCAAAACTTTACAGGCCGAAGAACATACTGATCTTGCATTTGTTTTGTATCATCCTGCAATTATAAAAATAAACTTGACACATGTTTTGTTTTCTTCTTTTTTCTTCTTTTTTTCTCTTTTTAATATATTACTTTATAATCTCTGTTAAGTTAAATAACTTGAATATTGAATTCTGTGTCAGGTATGCATAAAGGGATTGATAATTGGTTATTCGAGAATTCGTGATTTTTATTGGTCCAAGGGAAATAATTCCATCTACTTCACTGTCACATAAATGTAATTGTATGGAATGCGAAGAAAACAAAATTAAATCTTGCTACCAAAGTCTGGAACATAATGTATTGACGTTAGTACACTTTTCCCAGCCAAAGTTCATTTTGTCGATATTTTTAATGTTGCCTTTAAAGAGCCTTAGAGATAATCAATAAAAGAAAATAATAATACATGTAGAAATAAACAACAAAAAACAAAAACAAAAAAACAAATAAATTGAAAGAAAAATTGGATGATACAAGTTACTATCCAAAACCGGTGATGAAGTACACGCAATGCAGAAATGTTCACTTAATTAGTAGCATTGATATTTTGAAGAATAAAACAATTCAGATGAAGAGGGAATGTGCAAATCCATTCCAGTCTAATTATTAAATATTGGTTTCGAAAGACAGCTAAAATAATTAAAACCTAAAAACAATGCAAACTGTAAAAGAATTACTAGTTTGCTTTTTGTTTCTTTTTATCTTCTGATGAAAGGCTTTGCTAAAAGTTCATATCAATGGTAAAGAAACTAACCATACGGTTAACCACTTAAAGTATTTGGATGTCTATAAGATTTTTTGTAACCAAAGCTATTTCTCTTTTCTTATGCCAAGTAATGATATGTTTATTGAGACATTTTGAAGTTCATCTGGTACTGTTGCACTCTTCGAATTTTCTATTGCAAAAGTAGATATGTTTAAGAGATAAAATATATTTATGACCAGATGGTAATTTCATTATCCAATAAGAAACTGCAGGGTTTATTTATTTGTGTTGAATGTTTTATATGTATGTTTGATCATCTAAGTATCATTCAAGGCGTTGTGTAACAAAAAGTAATCATAAGCTTTCGTCAAGAATAGCATTCTGTATGATGATTGCGATTTTTTTAACCTAAAATGATCCAGACATTATAGACATTTAAGTATAATCATTGCCTCGAAATGCATGAAATAGTATGTTCACTTAAGTTTTGTTCTTGCCATTTGCGACAACAAAGAACGTCAACACTTTTTTCAATATGGCCCGGGAACACAGTATATATTTCGTAGTGCATTCTTTTATACAATAAATGAAAATTAAAAAGTTACACCTGCGCATTCTCAATAATATTTTTACAGTGTGGTGTACTACTTCTGGGACAAATTATATCAAAATTATAGAAAACTTCATCAGCTCTACCTCAAAATATGGACAATTTTATGTTAATTGTTAATTAGGGTCTTGAATTCTTTTGATAGCTTCAGACATACTAATGGTTAACCTTTTTCTGCTGGACCAAATCACTACTTCACTTTAAAATTCATGGCCCATTTTTTTTTACAGTGTAGTTTCTTCTCCTACTTGCTATTTGAGGCATAAAGCATGAAGAAATAAATTTGGAAGGGGTATGAAAATAATTGCAAGTAATACACTGTCCATACTAGGGACTATGCCTAATATGAGCCTAAGCTATAACGAGATAACTGTGTTATCCATTCTTATAGAAGATTGCTGCTCACAAGGAAGCTATTAAACCAAGAGTTCCAAATGGTGAAGTTGAAATCATCCCTTCGTAAATTTTACGGACGCCATCACGAGTTGGTTGACCGTTATGGAATAACCGTTTCACAGATGATATCGGATATGTTCCTTATGTCGTAACTACAATACCCTTCCCTTTTCACGAATGTGACCTACCGAATTAGACTATTTACCGGATTTGTAATAACATAAGCAACACGACGGGTGCCACGTGTGGAGCAGGATCTGCTTACCCTTCCGGAGCACCATAGATCACCCCCAGTTTTTTGTCGGGTTCGCGTTGCTTAGTCTTTAGTTTTCTATGTTGTGTCATCTGTACTATTATTTGTCTGTTTGTCTTTTTATTTTTGGCCAGTTTGTATTCGATCTATGAGTTTGACTGTCCCTCTGGTATCTTTCGTCCCTCTTTTTTAATATCAGATGAATTGTATAAGTAAGTGATAAAAAGTAAAACCAGGCCTTCAATGAAAACAAAGAAAAGTGAAATAAATTCAAATTCAAATTCAAATTCAAATTCAAATCCAAACTCAAATCCAAACTCAAACTCAAACTCAAACTCAAACTCAAACTCAAACTCAAATTCAAAGTGTTCTTTAGAGAATCACAAATTTATATATGTGTACTGATGATTTTTTAACTCAATGCCTATAATAACAGTTTTTTTTTAAAATAATTAATGACAATTTTTATGAAAAAGTCATATTGTCCGACCCCCTTTTCAATGACAAAATTTATAAAACATTCACTGTCGTTTAGATTAAGTCAATACATGCTACCATGTGCTCTATAAATACGTACTGAGGGGGCCGCCCCTATTTTAGGCTCAAGAACTCAACGTTGAATACCTGACAGCAACCTCAATATGACAGCCTCAATCTTTTGAAATGTATAAGATATATAAACTGTATTATGTCTGCTTTTGTCTCAAGACAACAAATAACAATAGCAGTATAAAATAAGAAGATGTGGCATGATTGCCAATGATACAACTCTCTACCAGAGACCAAATGACATACATAGAAGTTAACAACTACAGGTCATCTAAAGACTTTCAACAACGAGCTAAGCCCTTATATACCGCATAGTTGATATACAATCAAGTTACTTCTTAATCGAGCATTATAAAACACTGATTTGTATAGGATATATAAAGCAATGAACGCATCTTGAAAGTAAATTTCTAATAATGCACATTTTTCAGAGCCCTTCAACACCAATCTACATTTCACGAAAACACGATTTACAAGACTATATCATCAAAAAGCCAAATTGTGTGATGATACTTATGCTTATCGTTAGGAGCGACTAAACATTTTCGAAAATGGAGTGAGAGGGGAAGGAAACCATGAAAAAAAGAAATGGAGGTAAGCTATTAACAACTATCAGACTGATAACCTAAAACATTATACTCTAACCCTCTTGTCGATTTGTTCAAGAGAGAAGCAATGAAACATGATAATTCTTGCGAAATCTTGTTTGATTTTGATATCAATTGATTGTATGTAAAATTATAAAACAAACGAGAACAAACCCATCTAAACATACAGTCATAAAATTACACAAATAAACATATTCTTAAGTGTTGTTTACAATTCAATTATTCCGATCCACCTTAAATTTGTTTATTGTTTTACGATCCTCTCATAATAATATTAAACGATATTCCATATCTGAAATATTTGTTTACAATCGTTAAAAGTTTTGACTATTACATATCGATAATACTTTAAACTTGCATGCATATTATGATTTGTGTGATCTCGCATTTTCATTATTATTATTATCATTATTATTTTTAATATGATTGTTGTAATTATTATTTTATCTTAATAGTCTAGGATAGTTAGTACAAACAAAACAGTTAGAGTTATCCCGCTTCATACATCAAAAAACTAGAGGGAACTATTTTTTGTCAACTTGGATACGTTTGTCATTACTTTTGTAATTTATTGGTCAAATAATCTATTATAAAGCTGATATATTTCAGCCTTATCACAAGAAATTGAAAACATCAAAGACGATATTACGTTTTTAAATCTCAACATTTCAGAAATGCGTCGGTGTTCAGTTATAAATGCACAAAATAAGGAAGATTTTTTAATATAACCCGCGCTAAATTCATTATTTGTTTTTGCTTATTTGAGGTAATGACACTGATATTTATATCTAATAAAACTTGGAGTAAGATTATTTCACTCTATTATCGTCTTCCTGAAGAGCTGTAGATTTTATTATGTTTTATCTTTATTTCCTCTCGTTAAACGGCCATAAAACCAGCGATAACACTGTTTGAAGTCGGTATTTAGGGGCACATTTAACGCTGGTTCCTATCAAATCTTGACCAGTTGAGTCTGTAATGTTCTCTCAGCAGGTCATCCCGGAAAACAGTTCTTCATACCTGCAGTGAATAGGTGAGTAAAAATTGTGTATTTATGAAATCCAGCTGTTCAAATGAGTTATGTGCATATGCCATCATTTATATCAATTATTTAAGGCTACAAATTTACTTTTTGAAACAGTATCTAAGAGTCTCACTTAAGATTTTTATTTAATGTATATTTCATGAGAAAAAAAGGCGGAAGAATGAAATGCAAGTAATTGTCAAGGCAATTAACATTAACGGTATGAATGATGTTGGAATTTTGATGATTTCTAAATGGTCGGAAATTAATGGGTTTTTAAGGTGTTTATATTTGTAACCTGAACATTGTAAACTATCAAACGTGTTTTTGTCCAACAATTCACTGTTGTTGTTTATACTTCTGGTCGAAATTGAGACATCAAATCCGACGATATATGTTTGGAGGGTGCCATGTAAAAGAACTTTTGCAACAACACTTTGAAAATCCGTATTTTACCTGTTGAACGGCATAAATTATATCCTATTGAAATATAACCCCGTTTTGCTAGTGCAAATTTCAATTTCAATTCGTCTTGGTCAACTCAATTTGCCGAATCTACCTTGAATTTGTTGTCAAACACTTAAAGCCCTGTTAACACTGTGTCATATACAACTTTGTCAAAGAACTCTATTGACACTATACATTTTTTTGTCAAAGGAATCTAGAATGACTTTTGAGAAAACAGAGAAATGAAAACAGCACTTTATAATTTCGTGCTTCTGAAGCACTTTTTGGATTCATCTTCATCAAGGACGTCCAATCCTAAACATTTTAAAAGTCAGTGATGTGTATATACATATACATATATAAATTTAATGAGGGAGATAAGATAGCTCCTGACCACTCACTGAGAATGACCGCACATTTAATTAGCATCGAGTTCTTACATTAGTATCTGTTATGCATAACTGCTAAAAGAAGGAGAACGGGAAAGAAGATAGGTAAATAGATTGATCGATTGATTGATTGTTGGTTGCATATCGTCCAGTGGCAAGTATGTCATGCATGCTCAGGACGAGAACAAATTAACAATAAATACAATGGTAGGTCTTGTAATAGAGACCGTTCGGGGTGAATTCGGGGATTTTTTTTTTACTGGACCTGAAAAATGAGGGTATATTCGATAGGGACAGACATTTTGCTTTGCAACAGGCCACCTACGGAATCCTCAAATAGTTGTTGCAAGGGGTTTTAACGTGCAGAGAGCGTGGCACTCTCTCTACACGATGCAAAAGAATAAAATACTATTCCATCAACTTTTCTTCGGCCATTGTCACTGTCAAAAATTGATCAAGAACTTCATCAAAATTGATTCAGAACTTTATGAAACAGAAAATTGCGTCAGTGACAAGTGGGCTTAATAGTCCTTTTGACAAAATATCAATTGAGAATAAAATCGTTTACAAAGTATGCAGGGTTACTGGTTGCACAAGGTTTCCAGGTATAACTTGTCCAATCTTCTCAGAAACGAAAATGCAACAATTTGTGTCTATTAGTAAAGGAATTGTAATCAAACTCGTAAATCTTTCACTGACGTTTATGTTTCTTTGTAATTTTTCATGTTTATTTTTTCTCATCTGTTTCGAGTATTCTAGTTATCTGTTTCGAGTATTCTATTTAAGAAAAATATACAAAGTTGTACGATTGAAAGGTAGATATAAAATATTTCCAAAATATTGCAGGTTATTTCTGTAAACACTTTAAGCAGTCTTTCGGTGATTAGATTAAGAATACATAATATTTTGAAACTACTGAAATAGCTAATTATTCGCAATGCATCTTAAACAACTTACCACTTCAAAAAAACAGATTTTCTAGATAGATTGTTAAATCATTTTCTAGATTCTTTGAATGATAAGTTTGGCAAATGTCCATTAATATTTCATAAGAAACAAACATATAATATTACATATGATAGTTGGTTACATGCTGCGAGTTGCTGAGATTGAAATCAACACTGACAGCAATGAAATTAACACTAACAGATGCATTTTAGATATAGGTCATTAATGTTTTTACGTGCCACGGAGTACGAACACATTACACAAATAAAAAAATATCCAGATGCATTAATCTCTATAATATCTTAATTTATTTTTGTAGACCTCTTTAACTTTGATTTAAAGTTTATGCGTAAACGCTTCAAACAAAGACATTCATTTCAATGTTTACAATCTGACCCTTTAGGTTTTACCAAGTACGTTTTTAATATAAATTCAGGTCGTTAATATCGATATTTGCAAATTTGCATGCTGGCATATTCTATATTTGAAGGTTTGTTTGATTTTTTAGTTTTTTTTTTTTTTAAAGAATATCAATTTAAAACGTTTTAAAGCAAGTCTTGATACTAGTAGTCCTACCGCAATGATAGTCTCGTTTGAAGAAAGGAAATGACACAGCGAAGAACTAAGACAAATGCCTTATAGCTTTGAAAAATATTACAAAGCAATATTACATAAATTATTAAGAATTATGGACCAGTAGATGTGATATATAATTGGAATTTTTTTTAGTATAAAAGTGAATTTTGCTATGTGGTAAATGCCCGAGGATATCCGACACGTTTTGTACATTTTATTGTAATATTTTACAAATTCATACACGTTGAAAATATAAAACCAGCAATGACAGTTAATCACGACAGCGTTTAAAGAAATGTGTTATGTCACAATATTTGAAAGTATGACAAATATTCAGAACCATATATAAATTATCCTAGAGCAAAATTTTGTAAACTTTGTGATTTACCGTACGTATTATTTAAATTGTCTTTTTTTCTTCAAAAAAGCCAAGTGAGGTTATCGGCCTTGAAAAGGAAAAGTGGTGTTCACTTCTCAGAAACAGCACTAATAAAAGATGGGAACTGATCTAAATGCCCTTATCTAGCCTTAAACTATTGTATTGAAGAAAAGTAGGGGAAACTACATTGATTTAATGTTACAGAAATCATAATGAATTAAACATTTTTCTATATGACTCAACGATCCGTATATAGTATCTTTTTCGACTTTTGTCTTTTATTGAAATACGAATGTTGATTTGGAGGGTTTCTTCTGTTGTTGTTTTGCTGTCACTATCCGGATGTTGACTTAGGGATTTTATTCTTTTGTTGTGTTCCTGTCTTTCCTGATGTTGACTTGAGGTTTTTATTCTAAACGAATGTCACTCTTTAGGACGACCAGTTGTTGGTAAGGCCAATTGTTTTGCCCAATACATTTTTGGGGTATTCCTTGTATCTTTTTGATATATTAAATATGTCTGACCGGATGTTCCAGACATAGTGTTACACTACTGGTGGCAGTACTCGACCCTTCCATTTTTTTTTATCTTTATCAGTGGAATAATAAAGGCACCAAACAGATCACACAAAAATCTAAATCATTTTAGAAAGACCACTTTACGCACGGCTTGCAGAATGTAGACAGCGTACTGAAGAAATTTAAACGTTGTAAAATTTGAAGTGTAAAGACTTTACTTTCCGTGAAGTAATTGTACAGTGTTATTATTTATTTGGCCTATATAAGCCATGCTCATATCCAAAGTCTCAAGTAGTGACACCCATTCTTAAGAAAAATGATATAAAACGGAATATAAGACAGGACAAAGTTTGGGATTAAATTTAATATAAGTCTTGTTTGAACAAGCAATATGAAGTTCAAGAGTGTTAGTCTCCTCGAAGTCGACCCCTATATAAAATTATCGGTGTTTTACAACCTTGTTACTCTATGTTGCAGTTTTATTGTGTTGACATTGCCTTGTTTTATGACGGTATATTTCTATGTAAACTCACTAATCTACAATAATGTGTACATTTATCATAAAACGTTTGCTAGACGCTTGACACTTTTTACGACCTTTCAGTCACACGCTTGAAATCATACATTCCATGTGTCAGGACCAAATTTAAAAATATCTTCAAGCTACTTAAGATTCAAGGAGGTCATAAATGACGAGAATACAAATCTAACATTTTATTTACATGTTTTCGCTATTATTAGTTTCGTATTATATATTTACAGCAACATGGTCGACCTAAAAGATGGCGGAATCAAGTGTTCTGGTCCTGGATATGACAGAAGAGTTTTGGAGATGCCTTGCTGCGCATGTGTAACTTTCTCCACTATATCTACCCTGTAGATCCGAATTTGTATTTATCACATGACAAATCCGTATCTGCGGAGTTATATTTAGTGGCTGACTTAAACAACATTACGGAGTATGTAACTGGTTCTTAACTTCAACAGAGTGTTCTTCCTAGTAAATATGAATTATATAGACTGTTAGATCTTGTTTTCAGTATATTTATTTATTAAATAAAATGTATACATGCAACTAAGTTGAGTCTACAGCTCTAAGTTAAATATGCCAGATAGTACAAAATCATATCAACGCCACAAATAATCTGAAGACCATAGTCTTAGAGAACATGATTTATTTATAAGTAGTAATTGGCTTTGAACTATGTTTCAGTATCTGCAAGTGGTTTGTGTACCTCCTAATACCGATCTTTTGAGTTAAGCTAATTCCAACTGATGTTAATAGTTTGTTCATTCGTTGTGCTGTTACACCACTCTCCCAGGTTACGTGGAGGGTTGAGCGCTCACAATCATGGTTTTACACCGCCACATTCTTTATGTGTCTTTCCCAAGTCACGATCCTGTTGTACAGTGGTTTTCGTTGGTTCATGCCTGTCATATTTGTTTTTCGATAATTGTTAAGTTATGAATTAGGCCGTTAGTTTTCTCGTTTAAATTGTTTAACATTTTCAATGTCGGGGCCTTTAATAGCTGACTGTACGGTATGGGTTTTTCTCATTGCTGAAGGCCGTACGGTGGCCTATAATTGCTTCCTACCACTTCATTTTCACTCTGGTGGATAATTGTCTCATTGGAAATCAGTAAACATCTACTCATTTTTATAATAAGCAACTTTTTTCAGATGTCAGCCTTTTCGGTAAAAGTCAAAAGAAGTAATGTACAAAATCAAAAGTTACTATGATTAACAAACTTTTCAACTTCCACAACCAAATTAACAGGGTATTGATAGAGGTTACTAGCTGTCGAATTTGTGTCGTTTAAAAAGTATAAGTATAAATATTACTATGAGGATATTGTTGACCTTTGGAGAAACTGTGCTGGCTGAGTTCCATCGAACGGGTACAAGTCAAATCGGCACCCGGTCAAATCGGCACCTAAAGAAAAAGTCAAATCGGCACCTGGTTAAATCGGCATCCGGTCAAATCGGCACCTATTTATAGTCAAATCGGCATTTAGGTGGTCAAATCGGCATCCGATTAATATAAATAATTATTAATATGACTTGTATAAATGATCTTTCAATTTCTAATTATGTTTAACAAAATTAAGGTGGGATTTATTTTATTCATTTAATTGTTGAAAATCATCACATGTTAATTATTTAGCAGTTAGAATACATAAGTTAATTTGTTTGAAGTTTTCTCAACATTCAATGACTGATGTTTTGATTAGTTTTCTTTTCAATTAATTAAATAATGACTTTTATCAATTAAATAATTAACATGTTTGTTGTTTTAAATGAAGTAAACCAAACATGACAAGGTTATCAAATATGATATTCTATTTTAGATTATTAGATGGTAGACAGATTTTGCAATGTTTGAGACTAATTTATTACTATGTACCCTTTCATTCCACAATGATTCATACAATTAATCAAAAAGATGTTCCGGTGGTGCAGAACAGTGGCCCTGTCTTGCTTAATAATTGGTCCAAAAGGATATCACGAAAGTCAGTCAACATTTTGCAGGCTACATATATATGATATTAGTATATAATTTATCTTGAAGATTCTTATATATGCTAACTGGTCAATACATTGCACTTCAAGTTTGATTAAAGTGTTCTTCTCTGCATTGTCTTTAAGTGTTGTCTGGTTCCTGTTCTTACATATTTAATGGTAAATGCTCTTCGTGATTTAGAGTACATAAGCCCAATACCAGCTCTCTGCATACCTCTCTGCTCTGTTTCATACAAAGAAATCACCATCTACTTCATTTCCACTGTTTTTCTCCAGGTTTCTTTTAGTCTTTTCAGTTGGAGTCCGTCTCAGTGTCACTTTTGTAATGTTCATTTGTCTTTTCATGACCAATCCATTTCCATCTCTACATTTTCGTTTATTCTCGAACGTCCCTTTGTGATGTCAGTATGGTTCCTTTAACATTGTTTTATTTTTCCCGACATCAACTTATTGGAATTTTGGGTCCTCAATGCTCGTCAGCGTCGTACTTTATTTTGCCATTTTAACTTTTTTAATTCGAGCGTCACTTGTAAGTCTTTTGTAGACGAAATGCACGTCTGGTGTACACAATTTTTAGCCTGGTATCTATGATGATTGTATTTGATTCATATTCACGATGAGTTATTTACTTTTTATATTTGCACATGTTTTTTTCCTTATATATTTGTTATTTGAACACATGCTTTTTATATTTTGTGTTGAATTTATATAGGGGGCATCGGTGGACGAGTGGTGCAAGTGATTCATCCACAGTGGTCGCCTCTGTAAGGTACGTTCGTTTTCGATCTTCATTGACAATTTTGTCAGTTTTCTTGTTGAAGGTCGATTGTTCACTCCGGGTTCCCCAGCTTTCTCAAGGAATAAACACTGGCTTCCATGATATTGTCAAGTAAGATGAGAGTGATGATGAACACCAACAATCAATCAATATAATTAATATCAATGATATTTATATTTGTTGTTTGCTTTTTATAGATGGTTTTGACGCACTGCACTTTGTTTCGCGAAAGTATCCAGGAACGTTTCCTTATGCGGTATAACGTTTTACAATTTTAGAAATCATATGTCAAAAGTAGGTTTAAAAATTAAATGAATAAAAGGAGAAGTGGGTCATACTTCAATGAGACAGCAACCAAACGGCCAAGAAAATCAGCATACGACACGCTATGTTGTATGTTCGTTAAGCTATACAGTTTTTGTAGTTTGATTGCCAATGACACAAATATCCGTCAAAGACAAAAAAAAAGGACAAAGATGTAAACAAATGTATTTACAAAACCAGGACCCACAGTAAAACGTTTTAATTGTTTATCAATTTGTACTTGTATAACATAAAAATAAGGAGATGTGGTCTGGTTGCAAATGGGACAACAATACAGCAGAGACCAAACGACGAGAAGGTAAACAACTATTTATGCACCAGATATGCACGTCCCGACAATTAATGTCTCGTCAGTGATGCTCGAGGCCAAAATATTTAAAAGTCCAAATCCCATTACACACGTTGAAGAGATGCCAAAATTTCATAACGGCTAATTTCAATCAAACAATATCCGTTTTTTCATATCATCTACGTTGTTAACTTATAAAAGATAATTGCCTCATGCAGTATATGTGTTAAGACGTCTTTCGAGTCATGAAGTGGTGCACTTTTAAGGCGTAGCTTAAGATGCAGGCTAAAACAGGCTTATGGTATTTACATGGTAGGGGTTAGAGTGCTACGAGCCTGAACTTGATAGCCTTGAATAGTCTTTTAAGTTTAGTAGCTTGGTGTTGTGTTCCATTCCTTGATTGTTCTAATGTTTGTATTATTTCCTGTATAGAACCAAGTCTGATGAAACGTCTTGCATGTCGTGTTCCTTGCATGCCATTGTATGGTATCGATATTGCTATGTATGTTTTTGTGATCTTGATATTGTACGCCGCTGTTTAAGTGGTGGTAATTTCAAGTTTTCTAAAACTGTTATTACATTATGACAGCTCTTCATCAGAGACCAAATGACGCAGATGAGTAAAACCCATACCGCAGAGCAAGCTTTAAAAGGCCACGACGTGACAAATGTAAAACAATTCAAACAAGAAAACTATAAGGCCTGATTTATATGAATAAAAAGCAATAGATCAAAAACAAATATGATATGCAGCAACAAACGATATTCAAAGGTCCTCTTCGGTGTCGTTTTGTTCAATTTGGAGGTATACTTTTTTTTCAACAAATTGTCGGCATTTCTATGGAAACGAACTGTGCTCCTCTCCTTGCCGACCTCTTCTTATTTTCATATTAGTCGGATTTCCTTCAGACATTTATCAAAAACAAGAAGATCAAATAAGCCAGATCATTTAACTTAACATTCAGATATATTGATGATGTTCTTTCCATTAACAATCCAAACATTTCTCATTGGATTCTATTGGTATTTCCCCCAGAACTAAAAATTAAAGAAACAACAGACACGGCTTCCATCGCCTCATTTTTAGATTTATACCTCGAATTTGACGAAAGCGGACATATCAGTACCAGAATTTATGACAAACGAGACGATTTTAATTTTGAAATTATAAGTTTCCCCCACCTAAGCAGCAATATACCAATTTCACCTGCATATGGGATATACATTTCCCAACTTATTCGATATTCAAGAGCTTGTTGCTGCTACTCAGACTTTATAAACGTCACCAGTGTCTGAACAGAAAGTTGATGAACCAGGGTTATGTCAAAGAACGTCTCGTCCTTTTTCAAGAAAAAAGTTCATCTGAAGATACCAAGACCTTGTTGATAAATATTCCGTATCAACTTCACAAATAATACATGCTGGTCTTGCAGTATAGATGCTAGGTACTGACGTTGTTTGTCATCTTAATTACGTGTTATCGTGTTCTTTTTATTGGCGTCGTATATTTTTAACCTTTACCTCTTAGTCCATTTTTGGTAATATCCTTTTGGCGTGGCTCGGTATATATACATCCCGCCATGGTGTTATTGTGCTATAGTCATTTTTTGTATTCTTGTCTTTCATTTTTGCTTATGTGCTTTGTCTATAGAGTGTCTGTATGCCATTTTGTTTTTCTTTGTTGGCATAGTTGTTTGTTTTATAGTGATTATGATTATAACGCAAGGTTGACTTCTGTACCCTAATTTTTGACATTTTGTACCTATTATGTCTGTTTGTTTCGCTCACACATTGTTTTCAATATAAATTTGTAATGAAATTCTATGCGACTGTCATACAAGTGAGATGTTTAGCTAGCTATAAAACCAGGTTTAATCCACAATGTTCTACATAAAGAAATGTCTGTACCAAGTCAGGAATATGACAGTTGTTTTCCATCTGTTTGATGTGTTTTGGGCTATTGATTTTGCCATTTGATAAAGGACTTTCCGTTTTGAATTTTCCTTCGGTATTTTTGTTATTTTACTTTTTGAAGCCATGTGATTTCATTAAACATCAAGTTAATCGGTTTGGAATAAAATACTTTACGAATTAACGTAAGTTTTAAACTGCAGGATAGAGCATACATTGTAGGAAAATATAAAATGTATCTGTACGAGATTT